TATCCAAGATGTAATCAATGCAAAGGGTGGATACACTAGATGGTAAAGAATATTTAGTTAAAATTTGGTGGATTTTTATTCACTAGTTAGTTAGAAATTTCAATTGGAATTTTTGTAATCAAAACGGTCAAAAGAAACGGATCACCTAATTTAATGTAAAAATGGATTATTTTTATTTTTTAAGTTACAGATGAAAAATAATAATTCTTTTATATTTGGTGACTAAAACAAGCCTAGTTATATATTGTTTAACATTGTTATTGCGTCGCAAAATTTATCTTTACTTTTGAGCGCGCTACTGTAGATATTTATTTGGAATAGTGGAAAATCATAGATTGGCAAAAAATCAAACACCACAAATATCTCCTAGCATTTATGGTCGTACACTGTTATTCTTTTCTATCGATTCATGCAAAAATGAAAGGAAAGCACAACTTTCGTGAGTTTTTTTATTTGGCTACCTCTAATAATCCAAAAGCCAACAAAAAAGCAGTCTGTTTGTCCTGTATTAGAAAGTATATGTTGCAAGTAGCTGTTTCCGATCCCAGTTGTTTTGTGCCAAACAAAGGATTATTATGCCGAAATCATCTCAAAAAATGTATTAATTTTGAGATTGAATATAATGAATCTGAGCGGCAAGAGATTCTTTCACGTCAAGTTGCTGAAGATAAAAAGAAAAAAGGAAAAAAAGCAGGTATGTTAAATTCAAAACAAGCTTTATTATAAAATCAATATTAATTATTTAATATTAAATGATGTAATATAGCAAGTACCGATGAATTGTCCATTTCAACTACCTTCAATCTATCAACTTCTAATTCAACTACTTCCAACCTCTCAACCACTAATTCAACTATCTCCAATCCATCAACTTCTAATTCGATTATTAAGCAATCATCTTTAATGGGATATTTATCACGGCCTCTGTCCAACAAAGACTTACTTCACTTCGAAAATCTCATATTAAGGATAATAGTATCAAATGGATTACCATTCAAATTTATGGAAAATCAGGAAACAAAAGATGTATTTTCTTTTATTGCTCCAGCCTTAAAATTGCCTGGACGAAAAGCTATAAGTGATCGGATTTTACCACAATCTTCTCAAGAATTATTATTATCTGTTATAAAACGAGCTCAAGAAGACAAAATTGGTATTACCGCAGCATGTGACGGTTGGACTAATATAAAACAACAACATCTCTTTGGCGTTGTATTCATTACTTCACAGGGGGAAATTTTGATTTGGAAAGCAAAAGATGTAAGTGATCAAAGATCCAAAACTGAAGACGTAAAACTCTTACTCAAGAGTTTAATGGAAGAAGCTGAACAAAATCAAATCAAAATCAACTGCTTTGTAACTGATTCTGCTGGCGAGTATGCGGCAGCTAGGTAAATAATAAAATTTTTTGATTTTCTATTTGAAAATTTATTAAATATCTATCAAATTTTTAGACGACAATTGCGAATTGAATATCCAAATAAGATTTGGATTCCATGTATGGCTCATCAAATGAACCTAGTTGTAGGAGACATATTTAAGGAATCTGAATTCTATCAACAAACATCAAAAAATGCTGTTCGTTTAGTCAGTTACTTTCATTCTTCACCTTATTTTACGGAAAAATTACAAAATGAACAACAATCTTGCTATGAAAAAACAATTGCACTTGCAACTCCAAGTGAAACACGTTGGAATAGTTACTATTATTGTTTTAATAGTATTTTGAAAACTGAAGCTGCTTTAAAAGTAAGTAATATAATATAATTATTATAAATTAATTAACAATAAATTAATAATCATTATATTTGTAGACACTTATTACAAAGTTTTCACCTACCCGAATTGGAATTTCAAGTACTTCTCGTAGTGGATTATCATGGCAACGAGTTGCAACTAACAATAATAATGATCGCACACTTCCCTCTGATATAATTTCAATTGTAAACAATTCTAATTTTTGGACAAATCTTTATGAACTTCAAGATCTTCTTTTACCTTTATGTGGTATTCTCAATATGCTACAAAAAGATATTGCAAGATTATATGAAATTGTTTATGCTTTTGGATGGATAATCAAAATTTTTGTGAATCATAACAATGAAACCTTTTCCCGCCAAATGATTACACGATTACAATGACGTTGGGCACAATGGGAACAATCACTTTTATTATTATCCTTTATTTTACATCCAAAATATCGTGTTTCAAAATTTACTTCAACTGTTATGAATCTTTCATATACTTATTTCGGACAATGGATTATATATTATTATCAAGCTTGGTTTGGAGAAATGCCAACGCGAATTCTTCGACAATATTTATCCTATCAGCGAGAAGTATTTCCTTTCAACCCTGAAACATATAATCAATTTGATGACAACATTATTGATTTTTGGGAATCAGCTCAGGGCTTAGCACCAGAGCTTTCTCGATTGGCACTTCATCTTTTTGGAATCTGTATTAATGCAGCATCAGTAGAACGACTTTGGTCAAACATGAGTTTTTTGCATACAAAATGTAGAAATCGATTAATGGTACGTATTGCTACCGTTTCCGTTGATTTATTAACTTTCAAGTATAGATCACGTGTTCTTCACGTGTTTTAATCAAGTGGGAGAGTTA